AAGTGATCGGTTAACCGTTCGGCCGGTCAACTGTTTGACTGTTTGCTATGACACACACTGACCAACAGGGGGCAGACGCTCAACCAAGCGTCTGCCCCTGGTGGTCAGTGCATTCCATAGCAACTGGTTGTTCTGCTGTTTGGTTGATTTGCATATTACCCTTTTATTATATAAGATGGCCAGGTTCACGAATGGGTTGCCCTCAGCATTTTGAAAAACGATGTTCTAGAGACAGGTCCAGAGTGAAGTTGTTGGGTAGCACACTATGCAAATCGTCAACTTTCCAAAATAACTTCAAACTGTTTTCCTAAGTAATCATCTCCACTTGAATATCCCACCAGCTATTACTCTACATAACTGTCAGTGCTTGATATGGTCAGACTGCTTAATTCCTACCAACCCAGAGGGCTAAAATGTGGTATTTTCTTTTAGACGTAGAACTGGGCTTCTTTCTGATCGTTTGCCATTCCTGGTTCTTCTTCATGTCTTTTGCTCTATTTTCAAATGAGTTGATATATTATTCATTTCTTATTTTGAGTACTAAATCATTGTCATTTAGTATCAAAACTATCTCTTCCCAATTAGAGGCTTGTCTTTTCACTTTCTAAAATAGTCTTTCACATGACCAGAATTTCGTAGTTCTAATGTAATTTAAAGCAAAGATTTTTGTGTCTTGTTTAAGATGTTCTTTGTCACCATGAGTCAGAATTTTCTTCTCAAAATTGTAAAGCTTTGTCTTTTACATTTACTTCTTTATTCCACCCAGAACTGATTGATGTCTGGGTGAGGTGGGGACCTAAAGCCACCCTTTGTGGGCCCCTCTCCCCCTTTCCTCAGGGCCCACAATGCACCTGTCAAGCCGCTGGTGTCTGTGTAGCTGTGGATTTCAGGGCCCCTTCTCGGGTCTCCTGGTCGAGCATCCACACCTGCATAGCATCAGTGTCTGAGTCCCACAGCTTCGGGGCTCTCCCCACGTGCGGAGAAGCTTCTCCCTTCTTTCTGCTCTTTCTTCTCGTCCTCTTCCTTCAGGAATGTCTTCACTATTCTTGACCTTTTACTCTCTCTCTACATTTTAGAGTCAGGGTGTCACATTCATCTAACACTGTTGGGATTTTCAATGGAATTGCCACGAATCTGCGCAGAGAACAACTTGGGGAAACTGACCGCTTACTGACCTTGAGACCCCTCTC